TCCCAGCTGTGCTAATTATTAGCTCTTGAGCAAGTTACTTAGCTCATCGGTGCCTCAGTATCCCTTTCTGTAAAATGGGGGTAATAATAGTAGTGCCTACCTCCCAGACTTGTGGTTGTTAAATGATTTAATCCACAGTGTTAGCACAGCACCTGACATATGATAAATGCTCAATAAAAATTTGTCAGTATTATTACTCCCCCACAAGAGAGGATAAGGACAGGCCCCCTTCTCTTACAGGCTGGTCGCCCTTCATCTACTCTTGTAACTTGATTCTTATTTGGTTGCCAGCATTACCACTATCGAGGTTACCTTCTCTGGCCACACTCCTGGCAGTCGGACACACTGAGGTTCAAACCTTAGTCTTCTGCTTACTCGCTATATAACCCTTGAATTAGGTAGCTCTAGCTTCTATGACAAATAAGCCCCTATATCTCAGCTGCCTAACACAGTAGAGGTTAACTTCTGGCTTAGGTAATATGCAGAGTGGGTAATCCTCATCGGCAGGTGGCCTCCCATAGCCCGGGACACAGGCTCATCCTACCCTGGAGCTCTACCACCTTTTAGGGCCTTGGAGTCCTCTTCATCAAGCCAGTGTACCGAAGAGAGAAGAAACTACCCATTCTAAAAGCCCAGCTTAGCAGTGACACATGTCATTTCTGTTCACATCCCATTGAGGAAACCAGTCATGGCCCCACCTGGTTACAAGGGAGGCGAGAAATGTAGTTCCCTGCTACAGCTGTCTTCAAGCAACAGCGCTGTGTTACAGAAAACAACAGTTTTTGTGGGCAGTTGGCTATCCTTTCAGTTACCACAGTGAATCATCAACCTCTTGGGCTCTGTTCATCTATAAAATAGAAAGCATCACACAATTGCGGCTATGGTTATACATCAAGCTGTTTTTAAGAAATAGAAAGTATATTGCCCCCACTTCTCAGGGTCTTTGTGAGGACTCAGTGATTGACGTTTTGCCAAGCTGGCACTGTATATGTGAAGGACAGGGGGTTCCAAAGTAGGCCCAAGTTGGCTTATGTATTTGGTGTAGTTTTCATCAGAGACCCAGCTCGAGCCGCCTGCCAACAGGAAGTCATAGGTGGTTCAGTCTCGCTTTTTGCTTGGGAAACTCTCCCAACTTCTATGGCCCTCCCACCCTATGGTGGAAGATCCCGCCCACAGGGCCAGAGACTAGTCAGAGCCATGCCTGCCGCCATGAATAGGGGTGACACCCTCCTGCCTTTAGCAACAGATAGAAAACCGAGGGCCTCCCTTGGGGCCAGCAAGGACATACATTTGAGTGTGGATAGATGCAGTGCCAACTACACAGGGCCAGCCACGGGCCTCACTGCCTGGTGCTGGGAAGGTCACAGCCATCAAGCTCACAGCTGTTCCTCAGAGCAGAGGCAGTGACAATGATGAAGGTAAAACACTTTTAGATCAAGTTCCCTGCTGAGGCCAGCCAGACAAATGCCTTCAACTACTCTGAGGCAGATGTGTTTAACTTCATTCTGGGCTTGAGTCCCCATCCAATGAAAGGAAATGGTCCCTACCGCCTGGACTGTTATGAGGATTAAATGAGTTAATACATATGAAGTACCTAGACCAGTGCCTGGCACCCAGTCACCTCAGCAGGAGCTGAATGAGTACATGCACATTTTTGGCTGAGGCTGTGCCCTCTTCTGGGCCTCAGTTTCCCCACTTAGGTACTGAGGGATCTGGAGGAGATGGCCTAGCATTCTGACTAGGGAAAACAGTAGCTAAAAGTGCCAACTTTGGGGCCATCCCAGCGCTAGCTGTATGAAACTTGGGCAAGTTATTTAGCTTCTGTGTCTCACTCTCACCCCTAAAGTAAGGATAATAACACCTACCCCACAGCTGTGGGGATGACATGAGTTCATCCTTAGAACAGAGCCTGACACGTAGTAAGTACAATTTAAGTGTTAGCTGTTATTGTCATTATTATTATTTTCATCATACAGATATAAAAACAGGCCCAGAGAAGAGACGTGACTTGCTCAAGGTCACCCAGCTAAAAAGTAGTGCACATTAGACTCAAGGCCCATGCTGTTTCCATTGTTCCCCACTGTGCCTCCTAAGTCACATGCATCGTAACTGGGTCAGAGGCAGTGGGGACCCGGGGGGATGACGCAGCAGCAGGGACCGTGTGCGGATTAATTCCTTGTCTCTTGCCGACACCTTGCAGAGAACGAGCCTAAAGAGAAAGGGAGGAGGGGAAGGGGGGAGGGGGCAATAGGGATGATCCCCCAAACTGGACCCTGGGAACCAGGGGAAAGGATAAGGGAGAGTGGCTATCATGTAGCCCCAGCCCCTGGGGAGCTCATAGCCTGTTGATGGGGACAGAGAACAGCTGAGACACCACCACCACCACCAAGATATTCAACAGGGGCCTGAGAGACAGGAATCGGCACCTGGGGCAGCAAGGAAGGCTTCCTGGAGGAGTGGAACCTAAGGATAACGAGACCCAGGAGCTGGGATATAGGGAGGGAGAGAGGTGTTAAAGCTATAGAGAGGCAGTTCAGGGCAGTGGTCAGTGCATGAGCTGAACCTGGGGTGAGGGGCAAATGGGCCTAAACCCACCTCTCTGTGGCTGTGCCTCTGACCCACCCCGATGCCTACCCAAGGCAATTCTGAGGCCAAAGTAACAGGGAGGAGCCAGGCACCAACCTGGGGGAGGGAGGAAAGGGGTTTCTAGCAACTTGGGGCCAAAGCCCAAAGTGGGAGCATTGCACATGTGCACACATGCCTACACACACGTGGCCCACCCACCTCAGGAAACCTAGGGAGGGAGTCCACACACATCAAAAGTAAGTAGCAGAGCAGCCCAGCATGTCTCCCTGGTAGGCTCATCAACACCTGTTGGGGAGAGCCCCACACTCTCTACAGAAGGCCCAAGGACGCTGGCACACAGCCTTCATGTTCCCTGCTGCATCGAAGCCATCTGCCTGGCTCTCAGGATCCTCTACCCAGACAGTGGGTGGACATTTGACAGGGGTGGGGAGAGGGGACCCCTTCCAACCCTGAAACCGGAGAAGACTATAGTGGGGAGATGTCACCCACTTTTGCCCAGCTGGTGGCTGCAGAGACTTGATACGATGCCATGGCGCGACTAGGTCTCTGTGAACCTGCCACCATCCTTCCCTCTAGGGGTCTGTGTAATGGGCTAGAGATACTGAAGGCATTCACGTGACATAGATGATGCCTGGTATATATCCTCTCTCGAATGACCTAGGAGAGGAAAAGCAGTAGGCAGGGAAGGTTCTATCAGAACAGGCTCGTTCATGAATGGAGGGGAAGGGGGCTGAATGGAGGAGCAGGATCCTGAGGAAGCAGAAGGGGCGGGAGCCGAGCTGAGGAAGGGAGGAGGGCTCCCTGCTCCCGCAGCCAGCTGGGAGGACGTACAGATGGAGCTCCGTTTGGGGCTGGGTGGGAGGCCAGGAAGTTCCCTCCTGATGTTCCTCCTCTCCCTGTGAAGTGGGAGGCTGGGTCGTGCGGAGACGGAGGAGAGCAGAGGAGGAAGGGAGTGTTTGGGTCTGGAGGGGGAGCAGCTCGTGGACAGCTCACCCGGCTCCCATCCTCTGGTCATGCTCCGCCAGAGAGAATGCAGATCATACTAATGAGAACACACCCACACCTGACAGTGACAGCACTTACTGTGGGCCAGGTGCCAACCACATCATGTCTGTTAGCTCAATCTTCACAACAGCCCAGAGGGAGAAGCTACTCATATCCTTTTTAATAGATGGAAAACTGAGTCCCAGAGATGAAGTAACTTGCCCAAAGCCAGCTAGCAGGTGACAGAGCTGAGTTTCAAACCCAAGTGATCTGGCTCCAAGTCTGTGCTTTTCTCAGAGTCATGGGGTGCTCTTGCAGGAGGTAGCTGCTGAAAATGCTGGATGATACACCTAGGACCGGAGGTAGAGGGATTGAAGTGATGGCAGAAGAGGCGCACCAGGAGGCAGGCTCCAGAGGTCAACTTGCAGAGGATTCAGTGCTGGCCTCTCCTGCTGGTGCGCATACACGCACAAGTGCTCACGCACACCTGCTCCTGGAGGCTCAGCTCTCAGTCTAACCCTCCCCACATCAGACAAGAAATGCAGGCCCCAGGCCCAGACTCTCCTCACTGCAGCGCTCTATCCTCCACCACCTGGAGGCAAACTCAGTACCTCTGAGTGGTGGGTACACACAGGAAGCCCCCTCCCCAGCTTGCGCGGACACTGAAAGGATCAGTCAGGCTGTAAATGTGGAGTGTAGGGGTGGAGGGCTGAGTCTTCGTAGGACAGGTGCTCTGTCCTTGTGTCCGACGGCCTGGGTTGTGTCCTGAGACAATAGCTATGGTTGTGTGTGCCTGAGCGGGGTTCTGTTGTACGTGGTGACCATATGTGCACCATCCTGCCAGTTTTCTGAGACTGCACGGCTGACGTATTTGATTCTGTGCTCTCTGCCCTCAGACCTCACCTTCCCCACCCCCTGCCTTATTTTTTCTACAGCCCGTATCACCTTTTCTCATAATATATAATTCATGTGTTCACTATGTTTATTATCCTTCTCCGCTAGAATGTAAGTCCCATGAGGCAGGATTCTTGTTTGTTCGGTTCTGTCCCCAGGGCTCTGAACAGTACCTGGCCAACAGCAGGTGCTGATCAGTACTTGTGAATGGGAGCACTCTTGTGGAGTCGATCTATGGCATGTCTTTGTGTCATTATCATCCCTGACACTGTCTGGATGACAGCATGAGACAAACTGGTGGTACCCAAGTAGGGGTCAGGGGGCAGTGACTATCTCTGGAAGATGTTGACACAGCCTGGTCCTGAAGCTTTCGGGAAAGGTGATACTGCAAAGGTGCTTGTCGCCCCCTTGTGGTCATCTTGGACATGGCATCCTGCCTCAGCCCCCAGGGATCCTGGGAGCCGGGGAGGGAAGAAGTGGGTGAAGGAGGGGGCCCTGGCCTGATGTCACATTCCGTGCCACATCCCCCTCAACAGGGAGAAGATGAGCGTGGGTTGCCCAGAGCCAGAGCCACCTCGCTCCCTGCCCTGCTGTGGGCCAGGGAGCGCCCCTGGACTGGGTGCAAGCGTGCCCCTCCTCACTGAAGACATGCAGGCGCTGACCCTCCGAACACTAGCTGCTAGTGATGTCACCAAACACTACGAACTCGTCCGGGAGCTGGGCAAAGGCACCTATGGGAAGGTCGACCTGGTGGCCTACAAGGGCACAGGTGAGTGTCTGCAGGGTGGCTGGTTTTGAGGCTGGGTTAGGGACTTAGGCGCGGCTCCTGAGTGCTCTCTGCAGGGGCAGGAGTCTGAGCAGGAAGGCAGAGTCCAGGTCAAGAGGATGTGCCCTGAGCGGCGCAGGGAGGAGGAGACCAGGCAGATGGGTCAAAGGAGGCATTGGGGGGCATCCAAGGTGCCTTTGAGACAGCCAAGGGGATGCACTCAGGAACATTTGGAGTTCAGGAGATCAAGGTCAGGGCTGGCAGTGGTGTTTGGGGAATCACCAGCGTATTGATGATAGCTGACCCCAGGGAGAAAGACAGAGCTGAGAGGGGGTCCTCCAGAATAGGGCACCATACTTAAAGGGGAATAGAAAACGACGCTATAAGGACAGTATGGCCATCTCCATTTCTCAGGTAAAGACACGGACCCAGAGAGACTCAGTCACTTGGCCAAGGTCATGCAGAAAGTTTGAGCTAGAATGAGACCCCAGTCATCAGCTCCAGAGCCTTCTCGCTCAACCACTGAGCTTGATGCCTTCCCCACATTATAGGCTCACAGCAGTGTCCACTCAGCCAGTCAGTAATGGGGGCTGCATGAGCTCCCACACCTAAGGCAGGTGGCTCTGTGCCAACTAAGCAACAGGAGGAGCACTGGATATGGGGTCACCTGAGCTTTGCCACTTGCTTGCTGTGTGACCTTAGGCAAGTATCTTATGCTCTGTGTGCTTCGGTTTCCTCCTCTGTAAAATAGGGTAGCATTAACGCCCAGCTCATAGAGTCATTATGAGAAGTGAGTTGTGAGTGTGGATTGCTGAAGGTAAGGCCTGTGATGTGTAAATACTCTGGACACACAGGTGTGTGTCACACAGCTATGTACCAGATGGGTATAGGTGCCTGCCCAAGCAGTCAGGGATATATGCCTTGCGGACTGTCACCTCTCATTGTCTAATTCCTTCTTATTCATTTGTCCACTTAACAAACATTTGTTGAGCACGTACTGTGTGCCAGACCATTATAGCCACTAGAGATGCAGCAGCGAACAAGACAAAGGTCCTTGCACTCAGGAAGCTGTGTTCGAGTTAGGGGAGACAGAAGAGGCACATACAGATATAGTATTCACATATGTCAGGAAGAAAATGAGAGAGGATGGGGGAAGCAGCAGGCCCTCCTTGAGGGCTGCAGGCCGAGTGCAAAAGACCCAGGTTGCACCCTGCCTTGCATGGCCTTCGGCAAGTGCTTTCACCTTGCTGGGTGTGTTTCCTACCCATAAGATGAGGATAGTCATGCCCACTGGGACCCCCATCGTGCCTTGTGGCTGGACAGGCTGTGCAGACAGGCATGGGTATGTGTCCGGTACAGGAGGCCATGGAAAGGGGGGCTTCACCACTCTTGCCCTGCCAGGCACGAAAATGGCGCTGAAGTTTGTGAATAAGAGTAAAACGAAGCTGAAGAACTTCCTGCGGGAGGTGAGCATCACCAACAGCCTCTCCTCCAGCCCCTTCATTATCAAGGTCTTTGACGTGGTGTTTGAGACGGAGGACTGCTACGTCTTCGCCCAGGAGTATGCGCCCGCCGGGGACCTGTTCGACATCATTCCTCCTCAGGTATTTGAGGTGGGGGCTGAGAGAGGGGAGATGGTCTTCCAGGTCCCCAGAGTGTGACAGCTGGGGAGGAGTCAGGCCACTCATTTAATGGATGAGTATTTAACGAACACCTACTGTAAATCTGTCACTGTTTGGAGGGCTGGGGATTCACAGTTCACAAGACAAAGGTCCCGCTGTGGTGCTAGTCAGGGATACAGACTTGGCAATAAAGCAGATAAGAGACTGAGAGGAGCACTGGAAGGAAACGGCCAGAGTGATGGACGAAGTCCAGCAGCACCCTCTTCTGCAGCTGCACAGGACTGGGTGGGGGCGCGAAACAGGAGGCAGCAGGGCCTCCAGAGGCTTCCCAGAGGAGGCGCCCTGGAGTGGGGAGAGTGCCAGGAGGATTCCAGGCACTGGGCTTTGCAGTTGCCCCGTGCCAGGTATGAACCCGCTCCGCCGCCTGCTGGATAAATGGCAAGGCCTCTTGGAACCTCGATATCCCTATAAGGGAAAAGGGCATAATGGCCGCTGCCGTGAGGAGCTGGTGAGGCAGTGCAGGATAGGGCACTTAACACGGCACCTGGAACACGGTAGGTACTCAGTACCCAGTCAGTCGCTGCAGTTGTTGGGGAAAAGGGAAGGAGGGGAAAACCGCTGGGCGGGCCAGAACAGGAGGCAGGGATGCCCATGTGGCGTAGTGGGGCGCAGCTGGTGCTGGCGTGGGGGCGGGGCCACAGGAGAGGCCAGGCGGGGCTGGAGGTGGGATCCGAGCGGCCGCACAGGCTGCTGCTGCTGCTGCTGGGGGTGGTGAATGGAAGAAGGACCGAGATGGGGGAGGGGCTGGCGGCCCTGAGTGCGCCCCGCTTCCCTGGCCCCAGGTTGGGCTCCCCGAGGACACGGTGAAGCGCTGCGTGCAGCAGCTGGGCCTGGCGCTGGACTTCATGCACGGGCGGCAGCTGGTGCACCGCGACATCAAGCCGGAGAACGTGCTGCTGTTTGACCGCGAGTGCCGCCGCGTGAAGCTGGCCGACTTCGGCATGACGCGCCGCGTCGGCTGCCGCGTGAAGCGAGTCAGCGGCACCATCCCGTACACGGCGCCCGAGGTGTGCCAGAAAGGGCGTGGACGTGGGCCTTCGGCGTGCTCACATCTTCTGCGTGCTCACTGGCAACTTCCCATGGGAGGCAGCCTCTGGCGCCGACGCCTTCTTCGAGGAGTTCGTGCGCTGGCAGCGCGGCCGCCTGCCCGGGCTGCCGTCGCAGTGGCGCCGCTTCACGGAGCCGGCGATGACTGTTCTCAACCCTTCCGGGATATCACTGGGCCTTTCCCACTGCTGGCCTTTCATTCTCTTAATTCTTCTGCCCTCAATCGTCCTTTTTTCATCTTCCAGCAGCATTTTGTTCCCCTTTTCCCTTCCACCTAGGTCTGTGTCTTAAACAACAAGAACAAAAAGAAATCTATTTTCTGATGAGTTAGTGGCATTTTGCAGCTATTTTTTCATCTTCAGCTCTTGAAAACTAGAGTTGTGATATCTAGTCATATTTATTTAATTTTTAGCTTGTCATGGATGTAATAATGACTTTGTATTTGTGGTATCTTGCAGGACCGATGGCCGCCCGGACAAGAGCAAAGGGCAGGTGGTGCTGGCCACGGCCATCGAGATCTGCGTCTGAGCCACCCCGCCGCCCTCGGGCCGGGCGCTGTGCACGCAGCCGGGCAGAGCATCAGAGCTGCCCTGGGCCCACGCCAAGGCCGGGGTGGCGGCCGTGGCAACAGCGACCAGCCCCACGGTGGCAGGAGGGAGTAGTGGTAGACTAGGCAGGATGGAAGGCCTGGGTGCCCGTCCGTCCATCCGTCCGTAGGGCCGGCAAGATAGCCACCAAAAGGCCTCTGGCCCAGCCCGCAGGAGCCAAGCCCCACAAGACCCAAGGATTCAGAGGTACCCCTTGACACCAGGAGCAAGGGAGCTTGCAGGTGGACTCCCCAACACCTCCCTGAATGCTGGAGCCCTGACTAGTTACTCCTGGCCCTTTGCACCCCCTGGCAGACCATCCCACAGCCCCATTCCAGGTCCTACCCTCCTGCCCCCCTACACACCTTGGGCACAGAAAGGGACTGAAGTGGTAGGGAGAGAAGAGGCTTAAGGCCTCTGGGCACTGGCTAGGAGGAGGAAGATGAGCTGAGGGCAGAGTTTTGCTCAGCTGCATCCTGCCCCTTTCTTGGGAGGCTGGAGGGGAGAGGCCAGGCCCCCTGCAAAATGTAGCAAATGTCTGGACGTTGCAAAAGTGTATGCAAGTGCATGCACTGGGGCACAGGCTCCAGGAATCTTGTGACTTCCTCCAAGCCATTTCCTTGGTGAGGACACGAACAAGAGGGCAGCTTGCCTTGGGCCACACAGCCACTGAGAGGTAGAGCTCTGGTAGCCCTCCCCCAGGAGACAGAAGGGCTCCCAGGGCAAGGGCCTCAGCTCCCTGGCACCCCTGGGGCAAAGGTGTGAGTGCAAAGCCCACCTCAAGAACGAGCTCCCCTGCCGGCGGCACCTTCCCCATGGCCCAGGGAACCTCTCCAGTCCTCTCTGTTCTCGCTGCCCTGCCCAGACAGTGGCCTGGGCTTTGGCATGTGGCGAGGTTTCTGCTGGGGAATCTCCTGGGTTTCTGCCTTGGGCTGACCCCGCATCTCCCACATTTCTAGTCCTGGAGTATACGGCTGTGGGCATGAGAACAGGGTGCCAAGGAGATGTGAGGGCGGTACATGTGTGCTGGGGGTGTGCAGCCTGAGCACTCCCGGAGTGCATATGTGCACATGTAGCCTTGTGTGCTGAGCGACTGTGTCCAGATGCCCAGTGACTCCGTCCTGCCCCAGGATTCTCACCAGGCAGCTGCCAGAGGGTGTCCCGGCCTGCTTTTCACCACACCCCTCAGGGAATCCGGCCAGGAGGCATTTGCAGGTTGGATCAGGCCCCTAGGCAACAAAGCAGAGGAGAGGAACCCAGCCTCACCCAGCGCTCCCTCGTGAGCCCCGCCCTCTCTGTGGAGGCCTGGGACCCGGCAATAACCTCAACATGGGTGAGGCTGCCCCCTCTGCCTGGCAGCACACCATCCACTGTCCTGGGCCCTACATGCCGGGGGCTCTCTGGGGTTCTAGGCTATTTGAGGGGCTCCTTTATGGGCCAGGCTGACCAGAGGGCACCCCAACTACCCTCTGGCCTGGAGCCCCCACCTCTTCATTCACCCCTCATTTCCACCGCGCAAAAGGGCTATAGGTCCCCCTGCCCTGCCTGGGTCCAGTTTACAAACAGGTAGCCCCAGAGCCTGGCCCCCTCTCCTTGGTGTGCCCACTCCTCTCAAGACCCACCTCTCCAGCAGGCATTGGGGCCCTCCACACGCCAGGTAAGTAGCAAACCCTTCCTCCCACCAAGGGCCAAGGCCCCCCCCATCACTGCCCCGGCCCACCTGGAGCCCACCTGGGCACCTCTCCCAGCCGCAACTTCTCCTTTTGCCTTAGGCCTCTCAACATCCTGTTTCCTGCAATAACAAGGAAGCGAGATTCCAAGTAGATGTCCCTGTGCGTGCTCTTTCTCTGTTGAGATCCTTGTCTTAGTAGCTAGGATGTTAGAATTGGGAAGGGACCGTAGTTATGTAGCCCAGCCCTGTTTTCAGAGGCACACGGGGCAGTGACGGCCTGACGCAGAGGCAGGACCAGAACTGGGTCTCCTTCACTGTCAGGGCCCGGCCACTGCCACTGCTGCTGCCTACGCTGGTCGGGTTGGGACCCTTTGCCCCTTAGGGGAGGTGTTGGTAACAGATATTTACCTCAGTTTATGTCACTGTTGAAGAAAAGAAAAATAAATAGCAAAAAGTTAACACCGTAGACATGAAAACTTAGAAGACAAAAAAATTCACAAAAAAATCCCCTTGCAATTCTGTGAAGGTGTGTGTGTGTGTGTGTGTGTGTGTGTGTGCATGCACATGCGCACGTGCATATATGCGGAGACACACATGTCTGTTCCACCCTGGGCAGGCCGGGATCTCTGTCCCAGCCTCTGTGCCCCCCGCACTGCCCCCTGTCCTTCGGTGCTCCCCAGAGGCCCCTCTGAGCTGGCCTGTGGGGTGCGGGGAGCCCCCTTGGTGGGAGGCAGGGCCACAAGTTAACTGAAGGGTCTTCTACCCAGCCCCTGAGCAGAGCCCCAAGGCCACCAGTGCTCCCTGAGCCCCATGCTGTGGCCAGTGGGACGGTTGTGGCTGGCATCAGTGTCCAGGCCTGGCTCGGGGCCTGGGTGCAATCTCAACCCCAGCACCGTCATGTATCACCCCCTTGCCCCCACCATGTGTTTGTAAATACTTTGGCATCCTTTGGCCCTGAGGAGGTTTTTAAATGTGTTATTTACTTCTCTAATCATGACAATTGCTATAAAATAAAAGTTTAGAAAAATTACCACTCGGTGGCTGTCTTGTCTCAGATACAGGGTGGAAGGGGGGGTCACGAAATTGCTCTGGAAACTGAGAACTTGACAGATGTTCTAAGGTGGGATCTGCAGAGCCTGAGGGCAGCCACTCCTGGCCTCCTGTGACCTCTCAGACCTAGTAGGCTCAGAAGGGAACAAATACCCAGGTTCTGAGGAAGGGGTAGGGAGTTTTCCCGGCCTGGAGTCAAGCGTGAAGCCCTTCAGACTGGGCAGGAAAAAGAAGCAAAGGCCCAGAGGGACAGAGTAGGCCAGTTGATCCAGTCACCACTCAGCAGATACTGAGCATGTTCTGTCTACCGGCTGCCTACTAAGGACCAGAGACGGCAATGAGCAGGACTCATGGGGCCCTGTCCTCTGGCAATCAGCAATCTAATGATGGAGCAGACGTTACCCACATATAAGGGTGTGTGCTGGGAAATTATGTAAGTGGGAACCTCATTGAGTTTGGAGGCATTGAGAGCTCCATGAAGATGGAGACCAGAGGATTCAGAGTTCTCTGGTCATCGGGCAGAGCGGGCAAGAAGAAGCCGAATGGGCAGTGGCTACAGAGGCAACAGGCCAAGTGAAGCTTCTAAGCAAGGGAGCTGCGGCAGGCTGTAGAGTTTCATGATTCAACATTCATTAAGCAAATATTTATTAATCACCTACTTGTGTCAACAGAACCCTTCTGTTGGCTCTGCTTTCAAATACAGGCCTACCCAGAATCAGCGGTCTCACCGCCTGCATCCCCTGCTGGGTGCAGTCAGCCCTTCCTTGCCTGCCTAGCTCCTCACTGGTGTCCCTGCTCCCTCTCCTGAGCCTGTTCAGGCTCTTCTCAGTACAGCAGCCAATCTTTTCACGGATAAGACTGGTCGATCTGTTCAAAGCCCTGCAATACTTCCTATTCCACCCAAATCAAAGCTGAAGTCCTTACAGTGGCTCCGAGGGCCTGGCCTCATCCCCTACTCCTCTCCCCTGTGCTGCCTCCCAGCCACATTGTCCCCTAAGACAGCTAAGCTCCTCTCACTCAGGGCCTATACCCTTGCCTTGAACCCTCACTGATCTCCCCAAGTCCCCTCTCTCCCTTCAAGTCTCTGCTCAAATGTCAACTTCCTGAGTGCCCTACTTGGAGCAGAAAACCCCTTACTCCAAGCCCTCATCATCATTTGCAATACCATGTGTTTGTGCTCCATCTCTCCCCACCAGAATGGAAGGGCCATAAAAACAGTCAGGGTTTGGCAAACTGCTACTCCCCTCCCCAACCCCACGCCTAGCACAGGCCTGGCACATCACAGGCCCTCCATAATGATTTGTCAAATGAATGAATGAATGCCCAATACTATTTAGGGGCCAAGGATACATCAATAAAGATCATCTCTATCCCCTGAAGCTTGCTTTCTGAAGAGGAAAACAGACATTAAGTAGGTTACATAATTATCTATGAATTAGGGGTTGGTGGGTAAGTATGAGAGGGAAAAAAAATAAGGAGAAAAAAAATCCAGCCAGACCAGATCAGAAGGCTAAGGAGTCCTACCTAAAAATTTGATTAAAACCCTATCATTTTAAAACACCTGCCACTTATCTGTTATGCTAAGGATGGATACCTGGAGGCAATAATCCCTTAACACAACACTGTAATGGATTGTTAAGGGGTGGAGGGAGGGAAAACCACAAATGCAAACAGTATCCCCGCTTCCCCTGCTTGCTGTATAAGTACCGCCTCTGTAACTCCCAGTGTGTTAAAGAAGTCCAGCGCTTATCACCAGGGGGCCTCAGTTTTCTGTTTCTGTTGCTTCTGCCTGCCACTCAGCATCACGGCTGATCTAACGCATCCCCTAGGGTGATAAAGCCAACGTCCTGCCAGACCAGAGGAGCTTGACCTGAAGCGTTTCAGCCTCACCCACATTGTACTGAAACCAAACCAACCCCTGTAACCCCTAAGATCCTTCCATTTACCTGGATCACCTGTCCTTGATCGTGGAGAGAGCCTCTTCGAGGACTCTTAGTGTCCTTTCCTGCCCATAGTCTTCAGTCTAGACTAACTCAGTCCATCAAAAGGGTACATTGAACTTCAAAAGAGAAGAGATTGTATTCTTGTCTTGATTACTTTTTTTCACCCAAGATGCCCCTTGAGCCCTATGCAAAATTTCCCAGCTCCTCACCAGTGACAGCTAAGCATGCCAAGACAAGTGGTACTAGAAGGGGCAGCCTCTAAGATCCCATTATACC